GTGATCTGTTGTTACCTCAAATAGGCGTGGGGAAGTTTGGGAATCCAGATGTAAACAGCAGCATTGCTCTACTTATTTAGTTTGGAAATGTACATGAAAACACAACAAACATGCTATTTACACTAAGATAATTAACCTTCTACTGTCTGTGGATTAGCCTCTTAAAAGAAGAAAACAAACCTGTATACTTGCTTTCCTTTTTTTCCCCTCTATTCCTCCTGTTTCTTCTGGAGGAAACAATAGCAATAAATCTTATGGAGGGCATTCAGTTCAATAGTTTTATGTAAAAAGTCTCCAGAAAACTTGAGTTAGTGCAGTGAAACTCTCTGTCCTCATTGCAGAATCTAAACTCAGAAGTAACTGGTAGCTAACTCTAAGAAGAGAGAAATGTTTCCCTCAATTCTCTGTTGAGGGGGAGGGAGGCTCCTTCCCTTTGGATGGGGTGGGAGGTGTTGCTTTGTAAAGCCATTGGAACAGCAGTGGGAAACTGAGCGAGCCATGACCAAGGACTTAGCAAGCTCCTATTTTAATACATGGTTGAGTTCTTTCCTATCTGACCTAAGAAAGGGAACCGCAACCTAAGCAGGGGGTCTTTTTGGCTGCGAGGTCATAGTTCAGCTAGGGAGTTAGGAAACAAAAGCATGCAGATGAAAATTTACTCTGGCAAAGAGCAGTTGTAAAGAAAGAAGAGAATGCTGTTTTGTACTCATAGGAAAGAAGTTAGCATGCGTGTAATGGCATCCCTCAAAATGCGTGAGTACTGTGACTACGTCGAGAAGAAAGCAGGAGCATCATGATACTGTGTAAATTAATAAATATGGGGAAAACTGCAGCATCAGATCCTCTCGGGTGTTAATTGGTGTTGGTCTAAGCTGCTGCATTTAAGGATATTAGCTCAATAGCAGCTTATCTACAGTTAAGCTGTTCTGGCCAATAACTGAAATTCTAGATGCATCTGCATTGCGTAGATAACTGATCTAATACTTCTGCCTCTCTGTGCAGAATGTCAGATGAGTATGCCAGATGTTAACAGAAAAATGGGGAAAGGGGCAATATGCAGGCAGTCTGGCCAATGTGTTTGAGCTTCGTTATCTAGTAGAAGTTGAGGTGGAATTGAGCTAACCAAAAGTCAGAGCCTTTGCTGAATGTGGCGGGGGGGATAAGACAGGGAAACTGTGAGCACAACTCAGTTGGTGTGAAGGGGGGGGGCCTGCAGGAGCAGAGGGAAGAATGCTCATGGATGAACATGCAGGGGGGGGAAGTCTGGCATAATTCCTCGAAGCGCTGGCTACAGCTGCTTCTGCACCAGCTATGGGAAGTGAATTGAATGACTGATGGGTTACAAACCCCTGTTGAAAGGGTGAGGGACAGGACAAAACCCAAAAATCTCAAAACTATGAGTTGTCATAAACTGGGATATGTTCACCACAAAATAAAGATTACAGTAACTTAATAAAAGTAATTTTAACATTTGAAAACAGTTTTGTAGCTGTTTTTTAAACTAGTGAGCCGTATCCCTGTTAACGCTGATTTTTTTTTTTTTTTTTTAAATCGGAAGTCATTAGTGGAAACACATTGGATGCATCTGTGTTTTATTATTGGACTTGATACCTATATTTTCTGCTAATGACAGATGTGATAGTTCTTGCTTTATTGAGGTTCAAAACATTCTTCAAATGAAAACTTACCAGACAGTTCGTAGAAGGGAAGTAGTAATTTTGAAGGTGTCTGTTTTTCATCCCTCTGAATGAGCCTTAAAAAGGAGAGAATGAAGTACAGCAGCTTGAAGCTATGAAGTTGCTAAAATTCTGTTCATTTTACTGACGGTTACATTACTTGGTCACTGAATGGCAACTAACGAGCACACTTAGTTTTTATCCCTGAAGTTAGTAAAAACCTCCCTTAAAGGAATCTTCAAACACCACCAAAATAAATAGATGGGTTTGTGGCCCCATTTGCTCTTGCCCACCTTACTCTCCTTGCTCCCTGCAGTGGTGATGTCTGGGGAAAAGGTGTTTGCCAGCCCCCTCCAGCAGGAGAGCGCACCAAGACCGGAGCGTGCTGCAGCAGCACACCCATCCTCTGAGCGTTTTGGGAAGGAAAGTCACTCTCAAGGCAACAGCCTGAAACGGCAATCTGAGGTTGATTGCCAGCTCTGTTAGTAGGGACATATGTGATCAGGTCGCCTTTGTGCTGCAGTGCCTTTCACTAAAGCAAATGTAATGCTTCAGCCATTGACAGCTGTGACAGGCTCAAAACCCGGGAAGTTGTTTGAAGGTGACATCAGAAGCCATTAGAACTGTCATCCCAAACTTACTATTTATGTTTTTACCCAAGCAGGGATTTTTGGGAGATGCTGGCTCTCGCTGCATTTTGCAGGCTTCCAGGCTATTCTGTGTGTCACCACCCACCCCAAATCCTCAAGTGCTGCAGAGGAAGGGTTGCCTTCTGTCACCGAGTCTGCCTTTTGGTAGGGTGATTTTTTTAGGCAGGGTGGGGAAGTACATTTGTTATTTGTGTGTAAGCAACCCAAGTAACAATGAAGTATATTGTGAACTCAGCTGTAATGAGCTCCCAAGTGAAAGATTTTCCCCAGCTTAGTAGACTAATTCCCATACTTCTCTCATTCCCATATCCAGGTGTTTAGCTCAAGAGCTCAGTGGTTACCAGTGAAAGTTGTTTGGTTTGCTGCATTTAAAGTTTGAAACATATATGTTGTTATTCCCTTGGAAAACTGATCAAAACAAAAGGTTTGCACTATGTTCAGATGATCAAGAAGATGATCCTTTGATTTATTTTTTTTAAATTGAAGAGCCAAGCATTAATTAAATGTCAGAAGTGGAGCTGAGTTTTAGTTAATGTGACTTAAGGCCTGGGAACATATATCCTTCTTAAGCTTAAAATGAGAATATTTCACTAAGCAAGTGTGGCTGCTAAACCTCCAAATGGAGGTGGGGGAGCGGGCTGATGAAGAGAAGGTAGAGCCTTAGATGAGACTATTTGAGAAGAATGCAGACTTTTATTCATGGCTAGCAGCACCCTAAGACTGTTTGTAGGCCCCCACGTTTTTACGTGCTATTTTTTTCTGCATAGCGTCATAGTTTGACTGAAAGCCATCCAGCAGTGGGTCTGCCTGTTCCTGTGGGAATAGGTTACAGCATCCCTGTGTCTACTTGTTTTAAAGATTAAGAGCAGTTTGTTCTGAGGAGGATATTTTAATGCTTCCAGCTTCTGTCATCTATCATAAGCAAGACTGCATCAGAGCCCTCAACTTCCCTGAACATGCCAGGAGCCCACTGGCAGTACCTAAGATGTACTGTGGGAGCAGACAATTGCCACTGCAGTGCTCTTCCACTTTAGACTGGCCAGAGCTCCAAAAATACCCAGCCAGTACTGTGGTGATCTGTTTAACAGAACCGAAGATTCCCCCTCTCTGTCTTCATGCTCTGGAGAGAATGAAACACATGCTTTGCTTATTTTTTAAACTCCTTGTTTATTTTGCTAAATGCTGTTACAAGGAGCAGCAGGCGCACTCCCAGCCAACATGGCTTCTCTCCCCAGAGAGCAGATCTTCATCGCTCCTGTTGATGGCAAATGGCTTGTGATCAGCTCCAGTGATCACACTGTGCATTTATCCATGAGATGTCTTGGTCTCTAAGCCTGCTTACATGTGCGTGACAGGTTTTTGGAGTTCACCTACAGGCTTTACAACTCCGGCTGGTACTCATGCTTTCCATCATCCAGGTCAAGAGTTCTTACCAACTTTACCTTTGCCAGGTGGCCAAACCCAGTGAAAAAGATCTTTCTCTACCACCTCATCACTGTGACACTGCACAGATGCTGCAGAAACAGGATGAGACATCCACCCAGCCCATTTGCCCATGACTCCTCCTTCTGAGCAAATTCGCTGTCAGGGTGCTCACAGTCCCTGCCAACAGAACGGTTAGGATATGTTACTGAAGCAATTAAAGGGAAGCTAGCATCCCCTTCCCTGTCAGCAAACATTCAGGCTTTGGCTGAGATGGTAGCAACATCGTTGAAGATGAAAAGCCAATAACTGATTGATTATTGGGCAGATACATTATCACAAAAGGCTGTGGCAGGAGTCCCTCATTGAGCAAATACAGAGCAAAAAAATTTCCAACAGCGTATTCCTTAAAATAGAGTAGAT